AAACAAAAAAGTTTTATACCCCTCAGATGACTGCAAACTAACTTGAATTCTATAGAGCTTGACTGCTAAGTTACTCTATACTGAAAGATCTTGGCAGAGCCAGTTGCACATCACACACAAATGAGGCTTTTTTCCCTATAATATTTCATAATACAATAGCTAGAGCAGAAAATTCTAGCAGAAACATCTACTGTATAAGAGCATTTAAGCTAAATCCTTTTTGAGAATAATTCATTGACTTCTTTTTATTCTTATAAAATGTAGGAACAAGCACAAGCCCTCTGCAAGGTATTGTCAACAGCCTTTGACTCTGTTTTAACATCAGAGAAGTCTTGAATTTCTTCAGCTGTCATATGGGATGGTTCAAGAATGCTTTGTACTGAGGAGAAGGGCAGCCCCCTTTTGTGACAAAACCGACTAAATCAAGCTTTTCAGAATGGAACAGGTGTGAACTCTCTCACTGCTTGGACAGGATCATTAACACTGCACCAAGGAGAACCACACAATTTTGTATATATAAAAGTTTCTTATGTTGGTCTGCAGCCATTAGAAAATGACAGCTCAAGTCTGACTTACCTAAAGAAGTCATTTCAGGGTTCAGACGTCATCTTCCAGCTCATAAATTTATGAATAATGCTGGCTTTTTTTTCTAATTGTGAAGCTTGTACCACAAATAGTATTTTGTACAGGAATGTAAAATAAAAGTTTGACATTGTCTTCTAACTGCTGCATGCAAAACAGATATCATGACTGTCATTTCTGCTTAGACCACATAACAAAAGTAGCTGGTGTGAAAGTACATGCTTATGGGACTTATTACAGCTGAGAGATCCCAGCGCTTCAGGGTTCCTCTAAGATGCACATACACATGACCATACTCCACAGTGCTGAAGCTGCTGCATATATAGTCTCCTACTTTGAACAGCTTATTTGTTTCGGAGGCACAAACTGTACGAAGAGAAAGGCCAAAGTTAAGCTGATTTTAAAAGTAGTTTTATTTTTCCAGTCATTTAACTGGTTAACAAGAGTAAATTCTTTTATTAATCATGCTCTAATTATAAATCACTGCATTCAGGACATTGAAAATAAGAGTTGATTTTAGGTTATACAATATATACAGTTGCTCTGCAACTAAACAAAATAATCAAACAACTGAATTGAATATTATACATCTCAAGTAGCATTCTAAGCTGCATTTTAAATGTTATTTGCTCCTTTTTCAACAGTTAACACAGCAACCTAATAGTTTGCCTAGACACAGGTTGTTTTAGATAATGATCTCTTGAAGTCATCTTTGACACAGGTTAAAATTTTGAATCATATATTCTTGATTTTATATTATAAATAGGTATCTACAGTCTTCAAAATTAATGTATTTTTTGCTAGAGGAGCAAACCCTGTGAAAGCATATTATTGAAACTAAGGGCATTTTTCTCTTAAAAATTCATCGTTGGACAGTTAAGGGTTTAGTTTCCTGCACAGTCAGTGCCACCAAATAGTCACAAAATGAGAAACCAGTAACTTTTCAGGACACTAATAACCATAATTAGGATCGTGACATCTGAACATGTACACCTTTTAGCACAACTGAAGTTAATTTTGCATCAATATTTAACCTTGATGCCATATAAAAGACTGCAGGCTATTATAGATACTATAAGATTCTGTGTTAAAAAATACTGTACATAGGAGAACTGTGCAAAATAATATGCCCATTTACTTTCTAGACTCTATCTGGTATAGAAACATACAAAAGTGTCTCAAACTTAACATATCAGTAAGTGAATAAAATGGTAGTGCTAAACTATTACTCTATCATTTTTACTGGGAACTTTGAAAATGCAGACTAACTAGTTTCAAAATTTGCAACACAAGTATCCTGAAACATTCCAGTTTATTCCCTCACATAGACTGCAACAACAGCTGCTAGAAGAAATGAAAATTAAATGTGTATCTGGCTGCACCCATACAATACCAGGCTCTCTATCACTGAACCATGTTAGGAAGGGTGACGCAAGGGTAGGTCTGACTGTTCCAGCATTAATGCCATTGGATTTTTCTTAATATAAGCATATGCGTTGGCCTGTTTTTCATCCTTGTTAAACACAAAGTGGCCAATTTATACACCATTTGTCAGAAATTCAAAGTTCTCTTGATAAATATAGAGATACAATAGTCACAAAACGTGATCAAAGCCAATGTGACCTAGCCATTGATTTTTCTAATCCTATGCCATCAGTTGTTTCCTGTAGCATAAGCAAAAATACTGGTACAATATTGCAATATACAAACATCAGAATGACATTGGATTTCTAATGTTTTGTAGAACTGCATCAACCAACTGGGAACTAGGAATGGCTTAGCCTTTTTCACAAATTAGTAAACAAACAAGGTTAACAACAGTGTAGCTACCATATGTGGCTATATTATATAAATACAGAGTGAGTTAGCAAACTAATATTTGTTTGCAAGGTAGTAGTGGCACACCTAAAACATTGTATGAAATAGGACGTAACATGGTGTACTTGTGAGCTGTCAGATAACATATCCTTAGTACAGTATTTAAGTGTTCCACCAAATATGTTCTATGTATGTGAACATGTTCCTGTGTGACTAAGAAAATTCAAATACAAAAATTAAACACCATAATACAATTTTAAGAAATTTTCTGCAATCCATCATCCTTAGCTAAGTACATTTCAGGAAGTGCAGTTTTCATATCCTTGAGTTAATTTAGTAACTCAGTAATATTGCTATAGGTTCAATTAACCAGCAGTAGTCACATCAAATATGATTGAAAATGGATGCAACATACAGAAAGGACATTTCGAAACTGCTTACGAACACGTGCAGCATAGAAAATTAAACAGGTCTCAAGCTCACAAAATTAGAACTAGAAAGTTCAACATCTAACACAGATTTCATATAACTTTAAGCAAATATCTACATCAAATCTGAAAGAAACACATCTCCTGTTATGGTGATCTGAAAGATTCCTTAGCTTTTACCTGGCCAAGATACCCGAGTTCAGGATGACTTTTTCAGCACTAGATGCCTTTTCTTTTATGAGAACCTGATACTGCCAGGTGCTGAATGCTCCAGACTCAGAAGTACTCAGCAATGTGCAGGTTTAGGCTCTAACACTTCATACGTTACAGAGAGCTAACTGAATCCATTGTCCTGCTTTTGATCTTAGGATTTTCAGTGAGGATGAGGATACAACACTGAACTATAGTATTTCCAGGTTAAAAAAGTCAAAAATTAATTTCAACTAAAAATATTTGTAATAGTTAAGTGTTCACACATTTCCATGTATTTTGACTGTTTTAATGTATTTCAGTTCACTGTGGAAAAGATAATAGGAGTAACTATTTTTTTAATGTAAACTATTAATGGAAAAATTTATACAGAAAAAATCTTTTTAAGTTCCAAAGTCAGAACTGCTGTAATGACATGTCAGCTACAGTACCTAGGACTCCAAAGTATTCTGGCACGGAGTTTGCAGGTGGGAAGATGAAACAAAGCAAAGTTGATTTCTACAACAACTGGAAATGAGAAGTTTCTCCATTTGTCAGTAGCAGTTTAGTCAACAATAAAGTGCACAAATGAAACAGGGAAAGCTCCTTTACGATTAGGATCCCCATCAATATGGCCAATCTGGAAAGACATAATTTTGGTTTTCTCTTGTTACAAAAATTCAGCAGTCTCAAAAAGAGAATTATAATATTAACATCAAAGCAAATGCCAAAGCCTATCAGGCTCCTGAGGACTGCCCATGTATTGGGATAGATCACCATGTCTCTCAGTTATGGAGCCAAGCTTTTAATACAGTAAACAGGAAAAAAAAATAATACAAGGGTTGTGCATAATTTACTGCTCTGATACAGATTTAAATTGTAGCTGTTATTACTATTTTTTAATACCATGTGAAGTCCCCAAATGAGAATGAGGCCAGGCAGCATTCCTTCTAAGCTGTGCAGGTGCATTCATGCATGGCCGTGCACACCACGCAGCTTAGAGGGAACACTAGTGCCAAGCACTGAACACACAAAGGAGAGTTCCTGCTCCAAAAGGAATTTAAAAACTTGTCACCTCTGCACAATCAGGGTTTTTTTAGGTTAATAAAGCTGCTACTTTTTGTGCCAGCAACCTCATGTTGTATGTGAACCCTTATCAGGAGTCTCTGGACAAAGCAAACAGGTGAAAAGCCAAAACATAGCTCCTCATGTGGTGCCCCTGGTGGAGCACACAGGAATTTTAGAGCATTTTGGAATGCCTCAGCCCCCTGCTCCTCCAGGACTCTGTTAAACAGTTTCCTCTCTCCACCAGTTAAAATCCAAATGGTGTAAGGAAAAATAAAGGTTAAACATGGGTATTTGGCCTGCATCCTAAAAAAAAGGTTACAATCAGTTTTGTTATAGTAGTTTTGCACTCTTCTTTGATACCCAATATGAACAAGAATAAAACAAAAGCTTTCACAGGTAACCACCTTTCCTAGGGCCCTGTATTTACTGATTAGATTTTGAAAAGCAAGCAGATAAGATTCCTAGTCGATAGGAAATGGAAGCACTAGCTTTGAGTGGAAATCCATAAGTGGATGGAATTATTTTATGGCAACTCAGGGGTGGAGCAGAAAAGGCCTCCTCCTGTTGTGAGCTCCTAGCCTCAGTAATGTTAGGCCAGCCAAGAACCAAAAGTGACCAAAAAAAGCCATCTTCTATGGTCTGTAGTAGGACTCTCAAAACAGAAACAGTATCAGAATTCTAGGATTTCCCACATCCTGTAGATGAGCTCCTTGTATCACATGTTCTCAAGCTGAAGCTAAGTCATCAGAAAATATCTGAGTCTAAAAAATTAGCTGAGTTCAGGTTTGATCTTATTTTGTGGGAAGTACAAGGTCCTCTAGAGTCAGGCTACTCTGCATTTATTTGCCACTAGAGGAAATTTTTTTTCAGTGCAGAAGCACTGGTGAAATGAGAAGTACATATCCTGTTGTTTACTGTTGTTCTCAGCCCCATTCTGGAAGTGAATGATTTGTTCTTTGTGATCATTTGTTGGCTATTTCATTACTAGAATCTATAAAACCAGTTTCAGATAATAGGCAATAAGCAGTCAGTCAGCCAAAAGACTCAGGAATGTAAAGCATGTTAAATGAGAGATTCTGGGCTGTTGGTTGCAGATGTTTATACCCATAAAAGATAATATATTCTATCACCTGTATACCAGGCTCGCACTGTTCCCATCAACAATGTGTTTGAAAACATAGGCAGGCTTTAATTTGAAAACGCAAAAGGGAAAATACTCACCCACCACTCATGATCCTCCTCACCATCAACAACAATAATGTCTCCCTCTGAAAATGTTAGTTCATCTGGGTTATCTGCTACACAGTTGTAAATTGCTTTTACTCGCTTGGGTTTAGTTTTTGACTGCAAGAAAAAAATATATACATGCAAGTAATACAATGCAACAAAAGAAACGTAAGTAAAACAGGCTTGGACCAGTTTGGACAGAAAATGAAGTAGCTGCCTAAAACGGTTACCCTTTGTGCAGGTACCCATTCAGACTGCTGTCTTGCACAAAAAGCTCCCACCCAAGTCTGGGTTTAAAGTGCTCCTCAGAGCAGCCCCAGGCAGTGCTCCATCTCACCAGCAGGTGGCACACATTTATCCATTACTGAGCTTAATTTCAGTAAAGCTTAATTAATTGTACTTAGAGCACTGACTAAACATTAAAAC